GCTGTGTGAACACAAGGTGTCGACAAGAAGAGGTGTCAGAAGTTCAAAAACAAGCAACCAAATGGATGTGAAGGGTCACTGATGTACGGGAAACTCAAAACCTACCTGGAAGATAATTGGACATTTCCTCTCAGAAGGGTCACACAGAAGGGATGAAAAATTCAGGGTGCAATATAGCACTGATGAACACATAACTCTCCTCTAGTTTTTTATATTTCCTCCCCTTACCATTATGGTTTTTATTTGTTGAGATAGTTAGGTTTATTGTGCCAACCTGGCTGATAAACACATGTGGGATTGAAGGGCAGAGAGATAAATGGCTCGCTGAGCCTTGCTTAGTTCTCACATCTCTGTTGTCTGATGGTTGGACCAGGGTGCAGCTGCCTTAGCCAGTTCCCTGCTTCAGCTGGCAAGGCATACTTCCTGTGAGACATCCCTGTGCAGAAGCCACATGGACCTAACCTGATGCAACCCTGGGTGCTGGAGCTGCCGTGTGGAGACCCCTGCCAGCACTGAGATGCTTACACCCTCACTGCTTTGGCTTTCCCCCTGCAGTGGGCGACATTGTGTGTGTTTTATGAGATTGAGGACTTTGTAGATTAGTGTTGGACATATGGGCTAATGTTGGACTTATGGGCTTGGACAGCACTGTGCTGGGATGCTTTCTTAATGTACACTTGCCCTTTATATAAAACTATCTCTTATACATATGAGTTTCTGTGGATTTGTTTCCCTAGTTTACCCAGAATAACGCATTTGTTTTACCTCAGTAATCATGTTAGATTTGCGTATGTTCATTTGTATATTTGTTCGGTACATGAAAGCCAAGATAGATAGCCCTTCAGAACTAGTAACCCTGGGGTAACAAGAAAAGAGGGGTGGGAAGCGGGGAATAGGGAGCTGATAGCATAGATGACTGTATAACCCCACTCTATGGGATCGAACAACAGAATTGTACATGAATGGATATATTGGATCATGTAAGATATGCCCCCAAAAACTATTATAGGAAAAAAATGGGGAGGGGGGACCTAGCAGTAGGGTGGAGGAGGGAGGGGATAAAGGAGAACAAATATCCAGGATTTCAAGAAGAAAATGTTTTGAAATTGATAACAATTTTGGAAACTGGTAGCAATTTTACAATACTGCTTGATGTGAATGAACTATGGAATGTTATGATATCTGTAAGAGCTCCCAATAAAATGATTAATTCTAATAAAAATTTTTAAAAAGCATACTGCCACATCTTTCTACCTCAGGGTAATGGGTTTAAGCCCAGTGACCTTTTGGTCACCAGACAAGCACTTTAACCACCATACCACCAGGGCTCTTTTGTGGGTGACCAAGAGTCAAAATAGTGAATTTGAGTCTTCCATGCTCTAAATAGCTAAAATTAACTCCCTATCAATGTTTACAGAACAAGTAACGTGGCCAAGCACAATGCTAAACATTTCAAACGCATTACTCTATTTCCTCCATACAAAATCCCTATGAGGCAGACCATCTTATGGAACAGAAAGGGGCTGGATTTAGATAACTTTCCTAACAGCACTTAGCCAACAATTCTGGTATGGAAACTTAGCAGTCTCTTTCTAAGGTCTGAGGGATCGAAACTATCTGTATGGCTCTACTTTCTACTGCTTTACATTTGTCTTCGCGATGACCTAAATTCAGCACAACCTCCTATGTGGGCACCACGGGATTTTCAACGGCTGGTTTTTCAGAAGTAGATGGTGTTACATCTTGGACTGGACCAGGACCTCTAACTTTCCCATTAGCAGCAAGCTGGTTAACTAATGAGTTGAACAGTTGGTCCACTCTGCCTTCTTTTAGTTTTGTGTAGTTAATTGTCTTCCAGTGGGTTGTCACTCAGAGCAACCCCATGTGTTATTGCTTAGGGTAACTGAAAAATACCCAAACTGTAAGATGACCGTATGCCACTAGGAAGCAGTGAACTCTCAATTTTGGAGGTGTTCAGTAAGCTCTCCCAGCCATCGAGCTGATGCAGACTCAAGGCAGGCGACCATATAGGGCAGGGTAGATCGACCCCTGGGAGTTCCTGAGACTGTAACAGTTTATGGAAGTAGAAAAGCCCCTCTTTCCAGTGGAGCAGTTGGTGGTTTTGAACGGCTGACCTTTTGGATCGCAGCCCATAACCAGGATAACACCAGGCCTTCTCCAATCAGCTAGAACCAATAATTTGGCGGAGCAGTTGAAGACAGTAACCCAGCATGCTATCCCTCCCTAGGCTAGCAAGCCTTTCAATTCCCTGAACTCTGAAAAAAGGGGCGCTATTGGCACCTTAATTCAGTTCTGTTTTTGCTACCCAGTCAAACCCACAGCTGCCCTAGAGGAGAAAGATGGGGCACTCTGATTCCATAAAAATTACAGCGTTGGAAAGTGACAGGGGAGTTCTACTCTGCACAAGGTCGCTGTGAGTTGGAAACGACTTGATGGTAATGGATTTGGTCATTTTTATTTTGTATTTGGTACTCTAAATCAAATCCTGTAATCCCTCAGGATGGTCTCAGGGGCAGCAGTTCACTTGCTACTTAGAAATGTAAAATCCGGGGCCCTACGCGAGACACACAGGTATAAAGGTTTATATTTTGAAAGATCCCCGGGATTAATTCATTGCCACGAAGTCTCCCGGGAACCCTGCAGGACAGAGTAGAACACTCATTGGTTTCCAAGGCACTCAAAGCGGCCGGTGGTTTGGGGTTCGAACCTCTAACCCTGTTCGCTACAGCTGAGCCCTTTTAAGCACTGCACCATCAGGGGCCCTTACCAAGAGGGGGCACTTCAAACTTTTGGAGTCAATGACCTAATTTATTTTCCAATTTCACAGGTGAAGAAATAGGGGCCACACCACCTGCCAGAAGTATAAACACAGACTGGATCGGATCGGGGCGCTGCACTGGGTGGGCATCGGCGGTTATGCTGCGGACTAGAAGGAAACACGAAAAGGGCACAACTGGGCCTCACCCCGTCAATGAGGAGGATGCGGCCGGAGCAGGAACTGGTGGTGAAAAACTGATCTCGCGAATTCAGCAACTGCACGATCTCTTTCACGTCCTCGTCCACACTGCCTCTCCGGCTGAGGTCCGCTTTGCCCAGACACTGCGCCTTCGATCTCCTGAACTGTACGCTGGGATCCATGAGTTTTAGGGTTTTAGGGACCGAACGCTCCACGTTCGTCATAGCATTCCCCTCCGCCGGGTGCCGCTATATTGCGGGGACGGGTGCCGGAGGGGCCCAGACTTCCTGGCCTCGCGCGCGGGCCGAGTTTGC